CCCACAAATCTAATACTCGTCCTTTGAAAATCCTTGCGTTACGCCTTTCTCTTGTTTATTATTTTTGTCCTGACAACAACAACAAGAGAAACAACAAACTGTGACTACCACAAACGTAAAGCAATTAAAATGTTTAAGAAGACAATTGAAGACAAAAGCCAGAATCTCCCAAAGAACTTTAAGCTCTAAGGACCACCAGGAGGCCGAAAGGCACAAAAAAGCTTCGACAGTCTGGGTCTAAAGGATAAATAACGGGATAGAAAGTCTATGCCAGAAAAGCTCTTCTTCTTGCAAAATTTTAACAAAATTGCACTTTTAATATGCAATGAAATTTTTGCCAAAAAAAAAAAAAAACACAAACATAATAAATAAAAGATGCAACATTTTCAGAGGGTGGTTGTGCCACATAGGTAGGTACAGATATATCGAGTGACTTCCTCCCTTGTGGGCAGGATTATTTTCAGGTGCTGCCGTGCAAGGTACAAGGATATCACGCACCAAAGAACCAAGTCTTTTCGGAAGAGGGTTACTTCTTTTGGAAATGAGCAATGTGTGACCAACATGCAAGCCTCAATAGGGAAAAGGACATTTAAATTTAATTTATGAGAGTCTAAAAAAATTATAAAATAAATTCAAAAATAGTAAAGATATATATTAATGCTTGTATAGGTTTATACTTTATATAGCTACCCATATAGGTATATGTATTTTATATCCCTGCATACTACCCCTCATCTGCAGTTCTTTGCCTGCATTTCATTTTCTTCACTTTTTTTTTTTGGCTGTTTGGCTTCTCCCATTTGTCGAAATGGAATCGATTTTGTTGAAACTCCAAGCCCCAACCATACATCCCCCATTCATTTCCAAAAAAAAAAAGAAACTCCACCCCTGACTTACAGCTTACAAGCCCCACAAGCCTTCCCACCAACCTTCTTATGGCCCTCTCCAAACTTTAGGCCAAAAGACAGAGCCCATGCAAGGGGTGCCGACTTGTTAAGGTGAATGGGCGCCATGGGCGGAGGCTGAAAAAGGGGGGGGTCTACTTTTTTTGGTAGCCGTGGGCCCTTGGAACATCGATTGCCAGTCGAAGATAAATGATGCATTTAACAGAAATGTGTAAAATGTTTAAAATACATAAATTGTCGAGACTAGTAGTTGTGAAAGATGCAAAGACTTTTGGCATAAAATGCAATAAATTTAATATTGAGATATTGGGCAATGAATTTTAATTAATTTTTCAATGCTTTTTAAATTTATGGCTTTTAGGGAAAATAAGGAAGAAATCAAGGTTGTAAGGTTATAAGATAGGGATATATTTTTCAAGAAACTATGTAATTAGAATATCTCATTTTATTTTTAGGAATATAAAGCTTAAGAAAGCACCGAATTAAGTACTTTTACTGACCAAAAAATATTAAAATTGGCTAAAAATAAATATATTTAATAATTCCCCTAAGAAAACCTAATATTTTTGCAACCAAAACTCACTGAAACTTAGGCAATTCTACTTGCCCCACCCCCTGGCTTCCACTGAGGCAGCGATAAACAATGCCACTGCAACCACAACAACCGAAACACAACAATAACATAAACAACAACAACTAATCTAAGCTTGCAACGATACGCCAATAATATGTTGTCACTTGTCAATCAAGATGCAACAGCAACAGCAACGAAAACATTAACAAAACACTGAAAAAAAAAGTATAAAAAAGCAACAACAGGTACAACAGAAGCACTTGAAACAAACAACAAACTAGGCAACTCTAGTGGGGAAAGAAAGAGACCAAGCCATAAGCGAGTGAAAGGGAGAGGTAGGTATCAAGGAGGAAAAGCGGGAAAAGTCTCCAAAGGGGGTGGGGCTGAGGCGTTCATGCAACTTTTTGTTTTGTTGGCTGGGCGCTTCGACTTGGACTTGGACTTTGACTGACTGACTGACGGCTGTCAGAAAATGCCACACGACCCAAAGTGAAGTGAAAATTGGCAACAATGAATGAAAAAACAAAAACAAAAACAATAAAACAGCAAGAAGAAGCTTTTGAAGAAGAAAATTGCAACATGCGACTTTCCCAAATAATAAAAAAAGCGAAACACAACAACGCATTATAAACAATATGTTTTGAAGTTGCTGCCTTTTCTTTTTTTTTTATTTTTTTTTTTCTTGTTTTGCATGTTGCACCGGCTGCACAGTCTCCGCCAATTGTTGCTGGCCGCAATTTTCAGCGATTTTCACCGGCAACCGCAGGCCGGGCCGGCAACAATCAGTAAAAGTTTTTCCAAAAACAGTAAAAGCAATCAAATAAAATAAATGAAAAGTGAAAAGCAAACTTAGATTAGCGGCAGCCCCATCCACCAGTCCCACTGACTCCCTCATTAATTTACTTTTTGAGAAAAAATGCCAAAAAGTCAACGGATGAGTGATTAACTAGGCCCACTTCAAAGTCAAGACTAGACAGGGGTGATTTTAACTATTTTTGGAATATTTTTAAGAGAGTTTTGGGTTTTCTTAAAATTTATATATAGTATCTGTCTATCTACACATGTACATATATAGTATCTATAGTAAAGTATCTGCCAGTTAAGACATAAATAGGCACTCTTTTACTAAAAAAAAATGTTTTTTAAAGTTCCCAAATACAAGATAACCTTATGGCCTGTCTGTCACTCTGTCCGTTTGTCTATCCGCAAGTCTCCTCATTACTATAAACTACTATGTTAGTTCTATTTTATAGTTATCTAGTTCCAAAATTGGGGGTATACATAGACATCTAATATCCAAAAGAAAATATTTTTTGTTAAAAAATAACTCCCGACTCAATCCTGACAACCTTCTACCCAGGTCCCCCTGCCTATTTCTTTCCCCATTTCAAAGCTATTGATCTGAAAATACCTTAGATGGCCCTTTTAAGACCTCAACTAAAGATTACCTACATCTTAAGACCCCTTATGCAAAGTATAACCATAAAACCGACAATTAAAGTGTCCAGACAATATCATAAATGAACCTTTACAAAAAAAAAGTGTCTCCCAAGAACAACATCCTCCATCCTTAGCTGAAAGCCGCCTTGGCTGACTGAGACAACTTTTTGCATTCGAAAAGAATTCAAATTAAGGGGACAAATCAGCGACAGCAACAACAACAACAACTGTGGCGACTACCAGTCGACAATGAATAATTACGTGCCGATGGGAGAAAGGAGGGAGGGCTGGGGCTGGAGCTGGAGCTGGGGTCCAATGGAAAAACGACACAAATGACTTTGCCAGGCGGATGCGGAAAAACTTTTCCACTCAGAACCGATCTAGCCAGACGACGCATAACTCACGTTCTGGTGGCAGATAAAAGAAATAGAAACTTTCAAGCTTTCTGATTCAGTAGCAGAATCTGAATCTGTATCTGTATCTGAATCAGAGACCTACAATCCACACACACTCGAACTCGAGACTGGAGACTCGAGACTCCAAGCTGGGTTCTGGTAATTACAATCTGCGATGGGGTCGCCTGACGGATTGTTGACAGAACTAACAATTATATAAACCAGAGGCCGTCCAGATTCGCGACTTGCATCACTTGGTGGAAAGAAAAAAAAAAAAAACAAATCTTTTGATTCACAAATACACCAATTTTTTTTTGTTTGTTTCAAGGTAGTTTGTTTTTTTTTTTTTCATTTTTGCTTTTCAAATGCAACCAAAGGAACGTCAAAAAGTCAGCTAAGTAGTACCTACGACAACAATAACTATAACAAAAACAACAACAGAAACAGAAACAGCAATGGCTTGTAGTTACAGCGAATGTATCTTGTAGCTACAAGTTGGCGGCGCAGTTCGAGTGCCGGGCTGTGTGAGTGAAACTGAACTGAAACCGAAAGAGGTTTCAGTACAAAAACCAGCACACTCACACCACAAAAAATCGCTGACCTCATTATTATTTTGTGTATATTTGTATGTACTACGTGCATTTTGTGCTTGGATTGCTTGGTTTGCTGGCTTCTCGCATAGTATTATTTCCCTGATCCAAAGACTGGCTCTAATGTGAGGCAACTGTGCATTGATGAGATGCCATCGCAGTATCTGTATCTGCTAGATAGTCTCATAACTGCTAGTTGCTAGCTATTTCAAAATTGATTTCACAATTTTTTCGAAAGATTATTAGAAGCTATGATGGATACGGATGGGTCTTTGTTCTTTTTTCATCGAGAATTCATCAAAAATTTGTGATTAAGATTGTGAGTAACCTTAGAAGATCGATTTTAAGATTATTTGTCATACATTCCTCATTTATTCCTCATTTGTTTCATTTGTGATCCATCAAATGATCATGAATGATGATCATGAATCATGTTATGAATAATATTGAAAATATTTTGAATAAAAAGTAGGACTTAGTAATAAGGGAAAGTCATTTAAAGATGAAGTAATTTCTATTCTTCTGAAAACTAAAATTCTAAAACTAAAACTAAACTAAAAACTAAAATTTGTTTGAACATAAAGGAGAATATTTTTGAAGATGTATGACAGCTATCTGAGTATCTAAAAGATTTTTTAAGTATTTTTAAGTATTTTTTAGTTAAGGGAGTAGTGTAGATACATAGGTTTTTTTTATGGGGGGATTAGAGGCACTCCATGGGGGGATATGAGGCAATAAATATACTTAGATACAGAGATATTTATATGATTTTATGTTTTCTGGACTCATTGATATATGGATATATCCCCTTGATCCCCTCCCTATCTAGGCCACTAAGTTTAGTATTACGTTAGTTAGTTAATTATATAAATATTTGTTTAAATTGGAATTTTTGGGATTATCTGAAGTACTTATTTATACAAAAACATTCATATTTCTGAAGTTTTTAGAGTAATTACTTACTAAAAGTACGCAAAATTAGTGTTTATTTATGAATAAATATAAAAATATCATCAACTAACTTTTTTTATAATTCTCTTAGTTAGTCGTAGTCCCTAAACTATAAGTTTAAAAGAATTTAAAAACAAAAACTCACCACATGAACACTGCTCTGCAGCTGTCCGGCTAACATGGTCTGGGCCTGCTGGTGTTGCTGATGTTGCTGATGCTGTTGATGTTGCTGCTGCTGATGTTGCTGCTGCTGATGTTGCTGCTGTTGCTGGGAAGGATCTGGCAACTTCTTCTCTGTCTTCTTGGCCGCCCGCTTGTTCTTGCTCTCGAGGAATCGCTTCTGGAGGGCGGTGGTCTCCTGGTTCTGCTGCTCGCAGACGGTATTGAATGCCTGCTCATAGCGCGGCACACAGTCCGTCTGCCGGCGCCGGTAGTTCTCCATGCGTCGGCGTAGCCGGTCGACAATCGGTTGCCGTTTGGTTGGAAGACCGTCCCCGGGCGAGGGTACCGCTCCTGGATTTGGAGGGCCGCCAGCTCCATTGCCGCCAGTGAGGCCAGCCATTCCGCCTGTTGCTCCCAAATTGGCATTATAGGGAGAGTGTTGTTGTTGCTGCTGCTGCTGCTGCTGTTGTTGTTGTTGTTGCTGCTGCTGCTGCACTTGGATCTGCTGCTGCTGTTGCGCCTGTGCATTATGTTGCTGCTGCTGCTGAAGTTGCAGCTGCTGTTGCTGTTGCAGATGAAGGCCCAAGTGCTGCTGATGCAACTGAAGATTCAAATGTTGTTGCTGCTGCTGCTGCTGTTGTTGTTGCTGCTGCTGCTGTGCGACGGCTGCTTGGCTGGCGCTCTGGAAGACTGGCAGGCCGCCCGCATCCATAAATGCGTCCGTGGTGAGGCTTTCGCTGGCGCTCGTTGCTTCGCAGCTTTCGTCTCAGTCGGCGCAGAACGCTGACGGCGACGAAATCGCGAAGAACAAGGCGACGACAGCGACGACGACGAATCGGTTGTATCGTTTTTATATATTTTTAAGATATCGGCTGATATTGGCACTTCTTCTTCTTCCCCTATGGCCTTGGCAGTCCAGTGTCCCCTTTAGCCTACGCGGTTTGTGGCACAAAGAACTGCTTTCGTAGCAGAAGAAAGCTGCCACCAGTCAAGCAATGCCACATCCTGGGGGCAAGTTCTATAATTCAAAAGATGCAAATAAAGATTATTATTTTAAATTATTTTAAATGACTGGGCTATATTTTTTTTATATTAGAACCAATCCAATAGATCTGACTAATCTCTACGAAATTTCCTTATCTGTCTCAAGGTCATTATGGCTCTACGGCTCTACTACACTCTCGTTTTCATTCGAAATTTGGCGATTTATGGATCTGCTGAAAGCCCCAACTAGGTACGAAAGTACTGATAAGAAGTGGCGGGGAAAAGAGAGCGAATGAGTAACAAAAACACAGAAAGAAAACCACAACAAATTATAAACAAAATAGATCGGCTATGAAAAGTATCTCAAAACTGATAAAAACAATGCAAGTGAATGTAAAGCACCATAAGAGCACTGAGAAAAATAATTATTATTTATGAAATAGATTTTATAAAATGTTAAACTATTAAAACAATAAAGACAGAGGATCATATTGAAATTATATTATATCATATTGAAACATATTGAAATCATATTATATTGAAAAACAGGTTGAAAAAAATATCATTATTATTTTAGAATACATTTTCTTAAATAAATATAATTCCTCTACTTTCTTTCATAAACTTTTCGTTTCTAAATTCAAATTCAAACATTATTTTCTTTCAGTGAACAAAGCGAAGCTGATTAAAGCCATTAATCGCTGGCAAAACGCGAGCGGCCGTAGCGCGTTTTCTTATACACATTCGCAGTCGCCAGTCGCCGTAGCATTCGCGTGTCTCAGTCTGTGGAGGCAAAAAAAAAAGGCAACAAAGGCCGCAAGGTACTAACTGACTAACTGACAAAACAACTGGCCTGCGCCGCGTCTGGCGGTTGAATGAATGACGGATGGACGAGCGGAGCCAGTTGGAGGCAGCAGCAGTTCCCAGCAGCGGTTGGAGCTCGGTGGAGCTGGATTTTGATGATGGTGTTGGTTTGGTGGAAAGAGTCAACGGTCGTTGGGTCGAATCGAGGCGAGTCGAGTCGAGTCGGAGTCCGACTCGGAGTCGAGAGTCGAATGAAAAACGAACGAAAAAGATACGAGAATCCGAATAGCGACGAACTTTGGATGTTGCAGAGGCGCAAATGAGCAGCAAACCTTTAGCAACTTATGGTTGTTGCGGCTGCTCCTGCTATGCAATAAATTCGATATGCCCATGTTCTGTGTGGCACGTGGATGCCAAGATGATGCGGGCGCCCGGGTGGGGTGGGGGACCAGGCTGGCTGGCTTTAGTGCCGCAGGCAAATTAAGCTGTAAACAACGGGCCAAAATGGCTAAAACCCTAAACTCCTCAACAGCTCAGCAGCACCATAAGACCCGAGCGCTTGCATTGGAAACTGGTTTTCGTATATTCAAGTCGAAAAATCGAGCATATTCGGAAACAGTCCGGACGCGGTTTTACTCGCGTTCGATCAAGCGACCGAACTCGCATACAAACGAACGGCGGTTTAACCGAACAAATTAACAGGCGCCCAGCACTCTCAGCAGGTGCCAAAGAGAGTACGAGTGGCGAGTGCGAATGAGCGAGACAGCCATCAGTTGGAGCATTGGCTGTTGCTCTTTTTCTTTCCACCCACCCCACCCCACCCCACCCCACCCCACCCCACACACTCACAGTCAGATGGGGATGGGGTGAATGAGTGAGAGTATCTAACAGAGTGAGTAAATCTCGTAAACGAGTGTGAGAGCAGAGAGAGAGTGAGCATGTTGGGGGTCTGGGAGATAAAAAAAAGGTCAAACTTGCGGTGGTTCTTTGCTAATATTGTTATTGTTATCAGCGACGCTGCTGCTACTGCCGCTGCCGCGTTTAATTAGTAAACAGAACTTAGTTAACCCATTGAGGTAGGCAGTGTCAAATGGAACGGAAATACTGCTGTATCTTGCGGAAATGGCAAGAGGCAAGAGCCTCTTTGTGTGGACAATCACTGACAAAAATAAACATTTTCTTAGATTTTTCCAATAAACAAAAATAATGGCTTGTAATTTAATCAGCTCGTATCACATTTGTGATGACAAGTGCTGGAACAATAAGAGGGGAACTCTGGAACCAAAAACCGATAAGAATCCAGAAACAGCAACGATATCGATCGAGGGCCCAAGACTACAGAGACTGTGGAATTTTTAATTAAATTGTTTGGACTCGGCGAGCATCATTAATTTTCGGCCATGACCCTTGAGATACTTTTGGGAAATCGATAAGAGCCATAAAAGTTCTCGGCAATATAAATCCTTCAGATTTTGTACTTTGGCAGTAACTGTAAAAACGAGCATAAGAAGCTGACGCCAAAGTCGACGCCGACTGCGCTGTCAACAATTGCAAACCTCATGATTGGCAAATGTATCCGCATCTTAACTACGATTTTAGCTCACTCTGAGTGAAGCCAGACAGTGGATTAGAGTGAGAACGCGTGAAAGCGGACAGAGAAATGGCGGATGAGAGATGGGAGAGTGGGAAGCAATGTGCATTTCAGAGTACAGTGGTAACCTGGATTATGGTGCAGGTAATGAGTATGAACTACAATAGATAATAGATACAAACAAGGTGCACAAACAAGATACATTTTAAAGATACTTTTTAGAGTATCTCTATCTTCTTTTCTCTATTGTAATTTTTGTATTTACATTTATTTTCAAGTAATTTTTTGAACATTTTCCCATTGATCTCATTTCCCCAATTCAAAATGAGCGCCAACCGCAAGAGAGCGAGTAAGAAAGTGTCGACGCGCACTTGCAGAGAGAGGAGTACTTTGCAGAGAGAACAAGCTCCACTGTTATGCCCTATGCTCCACTGTTATTTAACATTGGAATGAAAGCAGGCGGCGGCACACACAAAACATTGCAAAATCGGCGCGAATTAAAAAAATCGCCGGCGATTGAAACGCAGCCGTCGCGCGTTTCTAGCAGCCCCGAAAAACAGCTTGGTGCCGGGAGAATCGCAGGGCATCGATTCGAACGGCGGCGATTTTTCAGTTTCAGGCACAAAACGGCGGCGACTTACGTCGCGCGTCTATCGCAAAAACGAACAGGCGATCAGCAGGCGGTAGCAGCGCGTTTTCCAAGCGGTTCGTCCGCTGTTAATGTTGAATGGGGCGGCTGCCTCTCTGGGGTGCTGCTGCTGTTCACTCTTTCTCTCAATTGTATTCACTCATTTGTCTGCCAGTTGGTGTGTGTGTGTGTGTGTGTGGGGTTATGCTGCGAGTTGGCAACAAGAACAACAATATAATAATACGTTTATATTTTTTTTATAACTCTTGCATCTAATTATTAAGAGTTTTTTAAGCAACCAACTTGATTTTTTGGTTTATTATTCAATAAAGTATCTTTTTGAAGCTAATGTACGTCAGTGGTTGGCTAGCTGCAAAAGTCGCGCGCGTTTCGCTACATGGCGGTTTAAAACGCTTCAAGCCGAGTGGCAAAGACGGCCAAAATCGATGCGCTGCCACGGCTGTGGGCCCATTAGAAAACGACGCCAAACAAAATGGTGCCGTGCCGGGTGGCGCCTGCAGACTGCAGTGACGAAAGCGACAAAGCCGGCAACGACGTCGACGACGACGACGACAAGCAACGAAGGCGACAAAAAGTCAATTTTATCGAAAACTAACAGGCAACAAGCAAACAGAGAAACAAAGCAACAGCGCCACAAAACGAGGCAGCTATGGGGGGCCAGTGGGAGTGGAGTTGGAAATGGCCGTGCAGCCGGCCGGGGCAGGCACTTTCCACTCGCTGGAAAAAGCTTTCATCCATTCCCGGTTGTGCTGCCCACTCGACGACTCTGGGCTCCTAATCCAAATTGCGAGAAAGATCCGCTTTTCGAGCCAAAAACCAAGATACCGAAAGTGGCCCAAGTAGTACGCACAAATTCAGCGCCCTGCCACGCCCCCAATGAAGGGCAGCCTCTGTCGGAGTCCGGCCCCGGAATGGAAGTCCGAGTCCAAGCCATCCGGCTGGGCCAAAGACAAGTGGCAGACTGAGAAAAAAATGGCAGCAGCCAGACCGCAGAATCTCAACCAGTGGAGGGTAGTGGTGGGTTGGGTGGTGGGTGGCTGGCTAGTGGGTGGTGGGTGGTAGGCGGAAGGGCAGGACGTTGCCTTGCAATTAGCTTGATTGTCTCTGCACATGCGCCTGAGGGGAGTATCTCGAGTGAATATTTTATCCAAATTGGGCAATTTAATTGCTTGTTTTGATTGAGATTTTATCAAAGAAAGTTAATTATTAAGAAACTCTATTAAGAAATATCCTTAAATATTAAACATAAAAATAAAACCTCTTCCCAGGACCTCTTCCTGTTTCAATTTCCAGCCATTAAAGTTCACACGCATTGAAAAACCGCAAGACGTCTGGGGATATAAATAAAAATCAAGGAAAGCCCACAAGTAGATGCAAATTGCCCCAAAGAGCTCCCCAACTGTTGTTGTGCAGCTGCAGCAGAAGCAGCCACCAGCAGCAGCAGCAACTTCACTGCCACTAGCAACATAAAGCAGCAACCGCAGCAGCAACAACAGGTCCCGAAACAGATGTCATGCAGAAAGGGGGCCAAAGCTGGTAGGGGGAGGATCTTGCAACAGCTGCAACATGCAACAATATCGTGCAACTTGACGGTAATGCTGCTGCAACATTGCAGAGGGCGCCACTGTTGTTGTTCCATGCCACCAGCGATGCGGCGCTCAGCAAATCCAGACCGTAATGGTAAAGGTGCTACAGTGGATAAAGTGGCAAGTGGCCGCCACCAGCGGGATACACTCCAACACACACACACACACACACACACACACCCTGGTTGAACAAGGAAAATTTGCAAGAAAAAAAGATACAAAAATAAATAAATACAACAACTTTGCCAATGGAACCGGTTGTTCGAACTCCGAAGAGCCACGAAAACTAGCACACAAAGTAGGAAAAGAAAAAGAGGAGCTCCAACTCCAGCTCCATGGTTGGAGCTTCTTCTGAGATCCCACTTTTGAAAAGGATCGTTAAAGGAATCTAAAGAATTTAACAG